TATAGTAATTTCTATGTGCACTTTTAAATTTTAAAATGTCTATATTACATTATGCGACATTATGTTTTGCATAATGTAATGCATATAATGCAGAGTGCCCATCTCTATGTATGTACCATTAGGGTGTGCAATGGCCTATAGGCAGGGTCACCACTTATTGCAGATTTTTATTGGGATCGATGCACAATGCACATATATCAATCTTATTAAAACAAAAATTAGATTTATTGAAATAAATAATTAACTAAATAGAGTACCATTTTTTTTTAAATTGAACCTCAAGACTATTTTTAATATTTTTATAAAAAATATTTAGAATGCTAATAATTAGTGTTCTTGGTTTTGATTATTAATATTTTTTTTACTTTTTTAAAAATAAAGATCAAAAAATAGCTCTATTTCATTGTAAAGCTAGTTTGGAGCTTCAATTTAAAAAAAAAATAGCATGTTGTTTGATTAATTATTTATTTCAATAAATGTAATTTTATTTTAGTAAAATTTGTAACAATAATCATATTAATATTTTTTACTTTTTTTTTAAAAAATAGCTCTATTTTAGTATAAAGCTAGATTAGAACTTCAATTTAAAAAAATAACATGGATTACATTATGAGATTTATAAAATTCAACATCTTTACCACCAGGAATAGTACTTGAACTAATTGTTTTTGATTCACAATTATAGTTGGTATGCTTTTTTGTAATATAATCTATTATAATTAGTTCATAATTTATTTCAACAGGTTTTTCAAAAAGTTTTACCATGAACATCTCAAAATTTTCTACCATTGTTAGTGGCATTGCAAAATTTATTAATAAGTAGGTCTAATACTGTGACATATGGGATAAAAATACAGAATTCAATTAAAAATAAATAAAATTAGTAAATAAACAAAGAAGCTAATATATATATATATGTACTAAATTATTTATATAATGTGTATATATTTTCAAAGTTACTTGTTAACTTATTCAATATATAAAGATTTATTAATTTCAATATTATTAATTTAATGAGATGGTTTAATAATCATGCTTAATAAATCAAATAATGATATTAACTTAAAAAAATAATTCATTATCAAAATACAATAGTGGTTGAAATATAATTATATTAAGCAGGTCAGAGATAGATTTTTAAAAAAAAATTGTATTTGCTGGTATATAGTTTGGTGGTGTGTAATTCATTTCTATTATATATTATTATTTTAAACTATTATAAGGTGTTTTCATTATAAAAATTTTTTAATTAGCATATATAATTGTTAATTTTAAAATTCAGAATTAAGAGAACAACATCCAACTATTTTGAATCCAATGTGCAATATTTTTCTTATAACTTTTCAGATGCAAAGTCATATAATCTTTATTCAAAACAACAAAAAGAAAAGCATAAACAAGAATATTTAAAAAAACTACTAGCTAAAAGAGTAAATTATAAAAAATTACAGATTACTAGTAGTGTTCCAAAATTCAGTTCAATTCAATTTAGGTTCAGGTTCAAGTTCAATTGAACCTGAACTGAACTTTAAATTTTGCAGATCTTTGCACTTGAACCTGAACTGAACTTTAAATTTATGAACTTGAACTGAACCTGAACTCAAAGTTTTGGTTCAGTTCAAGTTC